TTTGGTCACGTTTTCCCACCCTGTCCCCCACATTTTTCCCCTTGTGTTTTCCCACCATTTTCTGTCCACTTTCCCCTCGCCTTTCTGTGCCCTTTCCCAGCCCTTTCTGTCCCCATTTTCTTTCCCTTTTTCATGCTCAGTCACTTCTTCCAGTTCTCTTCCTTCTTTTCTGTCCTCTTTTCCCTCTATTTCTTGTCTTCTTTCCCATATCTTTTGTCCCTTATTTGCGCTCCATTTCTTGTCACCTCTTCCAGCCTTTCCTGACATTTTTTCACGTTTTCCCATCATTTTCCGTCCCCCTTCCCTCTCTTTTCTGTCCCATTTTCCCTCTATCCTTTCAGTTCTTACCTACCTTTTCTGCCAGGTGTTTCCACCATTTTCTGTCCCATGTCCCTCCCATTTTCTGTTCCCTTTTCCCCTCTCCTTTATCCCCTCTCACCCCTGTTCATGTTCCCTCTCCCCCCCCTCCCCTCCTCCCTCAGGACGTGTCCCCCCCGTCCCCCCGACTCAGGACTCTTCCCTGTGTTCTCAGTGTTTATTGTCAGCCCTCGGGCTCGGCCCCCTCGGGGCGCGCGGGCGCGGCGCAGAACGGCGCCGGGTAGCGGATGAACAGCCAGTCCTCCTCCTTCTTGAGCCAGCGCAGCAGCTTGGTCAGCACCGCGATGGCTCCCGCCTTCGTCACCAGTGGGCTGAAGCAGCTGTACAGCTCGAATTTGCTGGTCACCTGCGGGAACCCGCGCCTGTTAACTCTGGGACCTGCTGATGGCAGTGCCAGCGAGCACCTGCTAACTCTGGGACCTACTGACAGCACTGACAGTGAGCACCCATTAGCTCTGGAAACTACGAGAGTGCTCACAGAGAGCAACTCCCATTGACTCTGGAACCCACTCACGGAAGCACAAACGTGCACTCCCTGTTAGCTGTGGGATCTACTGACTGTGCCACATACGTACAACCTCAATAACCCTGGGACCTGCTGAGAGAACCGTGAGTGAATGCTGTCTGTTAACTCTGGAACCTCCTGACTGTGAGCACCCCTCTCAACTCTGGAACGTGCTGACAGCTCCTCCCCTGCAGCTCACCCAGGCCAGGAGCGTTTCCTTCTCGGCCACGTGGTAGAGCAGGCGGAGGGGCCGGTGGGGGCTGTGCACGCGGCTGTGCAGGTAGTGGTACAGGTCGAAGAGCCGGTGCTGCTCCTCCTCGCTGGTGTAGGGCTCCTCCAGCTCGGGGCTGCAGATGGTGAGGGGGGACGCGGGCGTCAGGTGAACACCGGGGACACAACTCCCCATCCCCCCTTACCAGTTCTGGGGTGCTTCTCCCCCTGCACACCTGGTGAACTGAGGCAGTTGCTGCATCTCCTCGGGCCCCTCCAAGGGTTTGTAGAGGAAGTGCCGGAGCTCCGGGGCGCCAGCGCGGGAGGGGCCGTACCCCGCGCCCCCCCGCACGGCCGCGCCGAGCTCCGCCAGCCAGCCCTGCGCCCGCAGCGTGTCCTCCAGCTGCCGCCGGCACGCGGCCGCCGCGTAGAAGCCTTCGCGCTCCGTGGACAGCAGGATCAGCGTCACGCCCTCCTCCTCCTCCTCGCCCAGCCTCGCCGCGTAGGCGTAGAAGTAGCCGTCGGGGTTGAAGCGGGGCAGGCACACGGGGGTCCACACCTCGCCCGCGCCCGCCCCGCCGCCCAGCAGGTTGAGGAGCAGGTGCAGGTCGCTGGCACAGAGCCGCCCGCCCTCAGCCAGCGCCCGCTGCCGCGCCGCCGTCACCAGGCGCCCGTGGGCCGCCAGCACGGCCAGGGCGGGCGCGGGGCGGGCGGCAGCGGCGGCGCGGCGCAGGGCCCCGGACACGGCTCGGCGCAGCCCCCCGGGCAGGGGCAGGCAGCGCGCAGCCCCCAGGAGCAGCCGCCCGTCCGCCGCGGCCCCGCCGAGCAGCCGGTCCAGCACGGCCTCGGCGCCCGCCAGCAGCCGGCGCAGGTCGAAGCCGCGGCGCCGCGCGAAGACGCGGGCGATGCCCCCGCGCGTCAGCAGCGACAGGATCTGCTCGTGCACGAACGCCAGCTCCCGCCGCAGCTGCGCCGCCGACTGCCGCGTGCGGGACACCGACACCAGCAGCAGCGGCCCCCGCTGCTCGAACACCAGCGTGCGGTCCTCTGGGGGAGAGAGGGCAGGGGGTCAGCAGGGGGCAGGGAGATCCAGAGCATGACATGGCACTGGGGACACTATGGGGAGGTTTCGGTGATGGTTGTTTTGGGGGGAGCCAGGCATGCCCAAACAGGTGTTGTTTGGGGGGGGGGG